ACTCGAGTCAAGAGGTCTTCAACTATCTCCAGACTCTGTAAACCTACAGACCCTCAAATTGATAATCATTTGGGCGCAACCAATTAGTTATCCAAGTTATCCACATACATATGCCGTCACACTTTTTTAAACGAATGAAGATGCTGGCTTTCTAACTGAACGGGCGAGAAAGCGCAAGCAAAGCTTGATGAATTCCAATGCACTCAGAAAAAGAAATTTATATATATTTTAAATGGTTTCCTAGCGAAAAGGACAATTGTCTTAACTTGTTATTGCGCAAAAACGTGAATGTATGAATAGCGAATAGTCTGAAATAAATATACGAAAAATAAACACTAACACACGTTGTACCCGTGAAAACATTTAAATTGAGGGGGCAGACTATAAAAAATCATAATTAAGACTACCACAAAGATGTATGGGAACTGCGGATTACCTTCTTAAAAACCTTTAAATCTGACCAAATGTTTGAAATGGTAGTTTTCGGACATAGTTGGCCGAGATATCAACTCGGCTGGACACTGTTCAAGATTTCTTTACACTCAATGGAATTATCTTCTTTTTCGTGACGAGACCCGAAGCCATAAAAATACTGTAGTTGTAAAAACTTAATATCTATTATAATATATAAGTACCTGGTATTAGGGACATTTACTATTTCTACCAATGTGCATTACGCTTGGCAACCACCTCTCCGACAATATCGGCGTGATTGGCGTGCAATTTGAGATTCGCATTGATATCAGTCCAGCGCACATTTGTGGCGTCGTCGCCGGCTTCCAGCTGCAGCTGGCCAACTTTGGTGCCGTCTTCATCATGGAAGTTAAGAGCTGTTGTCTCCATCCAGGCATTGTCCGTATTACGAAAGTCGTCCACGTAGCCGCTGTACACATGTACGCCGCCCTGCTTGAAAAACTCCTCCACCATGTTGCCTTTGTCATCAAAATTGAGCGCCTCCTCGGTAAATTCGCGTTTCAGTGTGACGCTTACGTTCTCGCCGGGATCAACCATGCCGCCAGGAATTGCCCACAATTTGTTGTCCGAGCGCTGTATGGCCACCAGCTGAAGAATGTTTCTGGAAAATTCCAAGCCAAAAACTAGAGAGCTGGCTTTGATATCGGCTCTTAACCTGCACATACTTGTCGCTGTCTTTATGGCGCACAATTTGACCCTTTTCATTCCGTTTCCAGCGCGTGACTATTGGATCCGCCGCATGATTGGGACCCCATCGTCCTAACAAGCCGCGACCACAGAGCCCGGTGCGTCCAATTGGATTTTGTGGCAGGCCATCTTTAATCTGATATTCACCATGGAAGGAAACGCGATTCACCAGACCGTCGTTGTGATTCCAGTGCGGCTCGTTCGATCCGTTTGGCAACGGTGCATCCGCCCAGCTCTGGCCTCCGATGTGCGGGGCGGTGTAGCAGGGCGGGCAGTACTCCTCATAGTTAACTGTCCAAAAAACAACTGCGTCCGGCACCGGAAAGCGCTGAACAGTACTGCGTGGATATATATTGTTGCGGCACATTATATGCCGAAATATACCTGGCTTTACAATTGCCGCTAGCATTTTGTTATTCGCGAGAATGTGTGAAAATTGTAGACAAATCAACAGGAGTACTGATATAAACAATATACTTGTCATTGGGTGAATATGTGCGACAATACGCACACTCAGAGGTAACTAAATATTAAACAGCTGATGGCTTAGGTTGCCAGGGCTGCACAGTATGGTAAGAAAAAGAAAAACAATCTAACATATATAAATACAATACTTACATATGAATATATATGTATATGTACGTGTGCACACACACATGCATAGATGAAGCACCCGTTTCTTCCATTTGAAAGCCGCCGTTTCCTCCTTTGTCGAAGCCACCACCGTCTCCTCCCTTGTTGAAAACTGAGAGCCTTACTTGAATTCATGAGAATCCCATAGTACAGAAGCATTAATACGTTTCTTTTTAAATTTTCAGCGCATCGTGATGTAAATTTGGTTTCAAACATTATTGCATTCACACACACATATATAAGAGTATACGTACAATATCATACAATATATATATATCCTTTCACTTTATCAGAAAAATATAGTGTATAAGATTGTTTACAAAATTTGTTATTCATTTTTTTATAATGTACAATATAATGTAATGTAATAAATGAAACCGTTCGCCCATGCAACAGCGATAGTTAATTTTTCAAACTGTCCACTTAACCATTATTTTCATCCATCTAACTTAAGCGAGGACAGAAAAGGATTATTGTTAACAATTACACGATTTATAATAAAAGTCGCTTTACATATTTCTTAGTCAAGGTAGCGTTTAGGACATTATTTGGAATTTATCTTTTAGATTTGTTTTATTTGTAGAGTTACAACAAATTTAAGTTGAACATAATGTGTGAATGCAGTTTATTTTAACCCTTGACCTTAATCCTTGCGCAGTTGCAGCTTGCGCTCCTCAACACCATCCTGGGTGATGATATTTATTAGCACCGAATCACCGGTGTATATATCACGTTCAGCGGCCGATATGAAGGTATCGGAGGCAACAGCCACCGCGCGCTCTTTGGTGAGTGGCGGCAATTGATCGGCGGGCAAGTTTTGGTTCTTGTAACCGATCTGGTTGTCCAACACTGGTTGCAGCAGGGCACCCGCTGTGCCACCGGCACGGTAAGTGGCACGCTCGCAATGGCCAATGGGATCGTATGAGTAGACGGCGCCCTTGCCGTCCTTGTCCAAACCGGCCAAAATGTTCGACACATAATATGGGAAGAAACGGCGGTTATACATGACAATGGAGAGCATTTGTGCCACCGCATCAGTCGACATGGTCTTCATGTGGGTGTGCTCGTACATCTGCATGCGCACCTTGACCAGCCCTGTTAGCGAGAGGGTGTCGCACCAGCAGCCAGTGGAGCCCAAGACCGTTTTCGGCGACATCCTAAAAAGTTTGCTCTGATCGCGCGAATGGATGCTGTAGCCACTGCTCAAGCGTGTATCGGCGGCAATAACCACAAAGTCTTCTCCAGCAATGGCAACAATGGAGCTACAAGGCAAATCGTGTGTTGGTTGAGTTTTCACAAATCTCGCATTTGGACACTCACCCGCCATTGGACTCGTAGGGAGAAAAGTCCACATGCTGCACTCCGGGCACTTTATAATCTGGGAACTGTTCGACGCCAAGACAATTCATATTTTTGCTTTTGTTAAATTTCCAAGATGAGAATGCTGCCCGAAATGATTTGCAAGTTTCCGTCTAGCGGCGTTTCACACAATTAGAGATGTTCACAAATGGGCGATATATCGATATTTTCCAAAGCATCTCGGTGCAAATTGAGCAAATATCGTTTGACTCAACGATTATTACAAGATTATTAAGAGTGTAGGGCATTTATTTAAACAATTTGAACAATCTTTGGGCGTAAATGTTTTGCATATTTTGTTTAAGCTAGGGCCTCCACGCCCGCTATGCGCTCCCTACGAAGATCACCACGGTTCTGTTGCACCAGCTCCTTGACATCGTAAAACCATTTGCCTATAATTCAAATATTATTAGCTTAAGGTTTTTCTTTTTGCTTTCGGAAATTGTTGTTACCAATGTTTGTATTTTGTAGGCAGTCCTTGAATGTCTGACAACCTTCCATGCTGCTCAGCACGCCAAACACCGACAGATCCGATAGTCCCGGCTGCTTGCCGCCCATGAATTTCGTGTTTCGTTTCTTAAGCTCCGCCGTCCACTTGCCCAGAGCATCATACATATGAGATCGAACATCGTCGGTGAGCTCGTGTCGTCGCTTCAATATCTTGGCTATGGCCCACATGGCTGTCGCACCGCAGTAGACCATCAAGTTGCGCTCCCACTTGGGGAAATAGACATCCCATTCGCCTGCCTGTGAGAACCACTCAAACGTCTCCAGCGCCTCGCCAAGCGTCTGGTAGCAATTGGGTGATATGAGATGCACTAGATGATTGTCGGCCCAGGTCCTCCATTTGCGATCGTTTCTACAAAGGGATTTATTAACAATTGATTCATTGACTAGGAGAGAGCGTGCACTTACTCTTCAATTTCTTTGGTCATGTTTTTCGGAGTGCGATCCTGGTACATAAGGAAATATTTGTTCAATATATCATGCCGCTTCTTGCCTTCGTCATCAAAGAAGGAAACATGCGGGTAGAACTGCGCCAAGTCACCCACATCGGTGCGCTTATCGTGCAGACTGCTGGCCACCAGTGAAATGATGGCACTAGAGTCAGTCATCTGTACATATTGGCCATCCTGCTGACGTATCAGCACCATGGGCACCTTCTTCACTGATGACCACCGGATATCCTGGCGCAACACAGCGTCAACTTCCACGACCGAGTAGGATACGCCCATGTAGTCCAGATAGGCACGAACTTTGCAACAGAATGGACATGTCTGGAACTGAAAGAGCACTATGTCCAGACCTGAGGTATCCTTAGGATTAATGTAGCGTTTTGTTATGCGGACGCCGGCAGGCAGCGATCCGATGACTGTTGGCGGCGTGCGCTCGTGCTCCTTGTGCGAATCCTTGTCGCTGATCCTTGAGTAGATTGTGTAGGTGGATCCAGCGACAGCGCCAATACACGCACCCAGCAATGTCAGCTTCAGTGTACCGGCGGGTTTAGTGTTTTTGACGCTGCTGCTCTCATTTAAAGCCTTCGAGAACTGGCGGCGAGCATATGTAAAATCCTGTGATTTTCTCGCAAAAAGTCGCAGGCTTTGGCTGTTCAGGGGCAGCGGACGCGCGGCAGTAAGTGCAGTGGCCAAACGGAAGCACGACATAGTTGTGTCAGCTTTCAGTTACTTAAATTAAATCGAATTATGCAAAACCGACTAAAGTCATCAGTCGCAACAAGAAAATTTCTGCTTCCTCTTCTATTTGTGACAATTGCATCAGCTGTTTGTGCACGCTTCACCCTGTGTGCATCGCATACACAGTTTTTGCAAATGGCATAATAAATAATTGCACATTTGTGTTAGTTTTTAAGTGCGTTAATAGAATTAATTTGTTCAAAACCTATTGAAGAATCGGAAGCCGCAACACGCAATTTCCTGCTTCTTCTATTTGTAACAATCGCTTCAGCTGTTTGTATACGCATCACCCTGTGTGCCCCGCATAAAAAAACTTTTGCAAGTGGCATATAAAATTTGCACACCTGTGAGCAACTTCCTGCTTCTTCTTATCTTTGTAACAATCGCCTCAGCTGTTTGTGCACGCATCACCCTGTGTGCGCCGCATACACAAAACCATAAACAAAGTCAATATTGAGTTTTTGCAACAAAAATAATGTCTACTGATAATATAGGCGTAGCTGCCGCTAATTTGGATAAATACGGCGAGGAAGATTTCTTTGGCCTATTAGTACGCTATGGTCTCTTCGTTGGCGCCATATTTCAGTTTGTGTGCATAGCCGCTGCAGTTCTAATGAGTGGCAGCGATTCCCAGGACACGATTGAGGATGAGGCGCGCCTCAGCGATGAACCTCCGTCCGGAAGCGGCAATGTAGCGCGACGTCTGCACAAAATACGTAAGCTGGAGAAGAAAAAACGGCGCTAGCTGCATTTCTACTTTATACTAATGCATTTACACAGTATTCCCTAATTAGTCTTAAGTTTGTGTGTACTTATAATAAAACTAATTTATTTGGCTGTACGTAAACTAGCTCCTTATTTGGCAGTTGCAGCGCCGTTTCCGGCTTTAGATCAAAATAAAGCTCTAGCGTGGCGCCCACGCTTGGTGACATGCTGGGCGAGAGTATAATGTTAAAAATGGCCTTATCCTCCGTTTCGTCCTGCACTCGTGCCATGTGACAACCAAAGGATTCATGTATGCTCAGCACACGCACTCGTTGGCCTGAGCTAATGCCCAGACGCTGGTTGTGCGCCAGACTGCGGCGATCCATGCGCTCCTTGAGAATCATTCGCTTAAATTCATATAAATGCCCACCTTTAATGCAACGCTGCTTCTTTTTGGCCACTTTTCTGGAGCTGTTCGGTGTTTGCTGCGTGTCAATCATGGTCTCCAGATTAGCTTCTATTGATGTGTTTAGCGTGCAGTCCAGCAGCGATTCATCCATAGATCCCTGATTGCTAGTCGATGCCCGAAGCACGCCCTGGCGATCGCGTTTTAGTGCTGAAAGTGTCAGCCTAAAGCTGTGCCACGCTGCTCGGCATGTGGCTGGAGGATCCCCAGGAATGACCGTGGAACAGTTGGCCGTATCAAATGAATTAGTGCGTAAAGTTGGAGACGGTGGCTTGACACTTACGGACAGCGACAACGGCTGGAACTTATTTTGTGGTGTCAATGGCAGCGGTTTGTGATCGCTGCTGTATCTCTTGAGATTTGCAAGCCACTTTCGGTTCTCCTGGCCCAAATTATCTTGACTGTTAGGCTCCTCATCGCTGCTCGTATCGGAAATATCTAACTCAACGGTTTTTGTACGCTTCTGCCGCACATATTTCCTACGCACGAGTGATTTGATCCTTTGATGATTTCCGCTAGCATCCTCGCTGCTGCTGCTGCCATCTGCAATAACTGTTTGATCGGCTATTATCCGAAATCTTTTGTGCATCTTATCAAATACAATTGTTGCTTTCCCTGTGATTGATTTTTAGGCGCCGTAATTTTAAGACAGCTGATCGGAGCCAGGGCTGCATAAATGTGTCATGCCTGCTTTGATGTGTTAATACCCTTTGCTTCTGGGCATATCGGTTCGGTTATTCAGCAATTATAATCAAGTTCCAAAAGAATACAAATATTATTTAAGTTTCGCTTATGCAGTTGAAAATAATATTCTTCCTCCCCTTACGTATTATAAATATATAATATGCTACATTTATGCTAGGAATTCCTTTCAGTTGTGTACTATCGTTATTTACTGTAGTACTACTGCAGTCGTGTATTATTTACATAAAATAACACAAGTTAAGAAATAGGCAAATACTTGCAAGAATTTGTGCAGCCCTCGCACTTGCACATGACTCAGGAGCTTTAAACGTCTGCGGCAGCATGCCTTAACAATTGTGGCCCCGCCCTCCGTCGCCCGTTTTCCAATCAGAATGACACATATGATGGAATTTTTTTGTTTGGCTGTTATCTTTAATTTTGGGAATAATATAAATTATAATAATAATATATTTATTATGCTGCTCGTAATGTTGTTGTTTTACTTCCCTTTTTTTTACTATGTACGTATGGATGTTTAGTGTGTAGTTGTGTGGGTGTGTGTTTTGGTGTGGAGTGTGTATATGTATGTGTGTGTGTTTTGAATGCTTTTTCAATTATAACTAGAATTATTATGCAGTATTCTGAATGAAGTTTTTAGGTGAAATTACAATTGGTTTTTCTTTCATACATATTTAATAATAATAATTTACCGTAATTGTTAATTTCGGCGCACATTTGAAATGTTTAATGTCTAAATTGTAAGTCAAAACTCATATTATCTTCATTGTCCTGGATATAACGTTTCAAAAACGCTTCAATTTCAATACAACAACTATTTAAATAGGCAAAAGAAATACACAGAAAAAAAAAAATAGAAGAGGAAATAATAATAATAAACCGTTTACGCAAAGTAATAGTAACAGTAGGTAGGTAGAGGTGTACATACATAGGTCTATATACGTCTACAAGCGCACGAGGATCGCGAACTGGAACCACAACAACAAACCGAACTCTGAACAATTTGAAAAGCGAACTAGACGGAAGCTGGAGCGAATATGCTATATGCTATATTCTCAGTGAAGGGAGAAAGTAAATAAAGTAGTGTGTGTTTAATGTGTGTGTGTTTTTGTTTTGTTTAGTTTCTTCCTTTTTTTGTTTTTTAGTTAAATTCGCAACATGCTGCGGCTGCATTTAATCCTTTACGCTATTACATACAATATAATGTGTGTACTTGTTTGTTACTACTTATGTATTTTGCTTTATCGTTATTTATCGTTATCATTTTGTTGTTTGCTTTGTCTAAATTATTGTTTAGTTACTCACAAGTGCTGTCGTCATCGGTCATCAGTCATCTGTCATCGGTCATCGTCATCGTCTTTTGTCATCGTCTTTTGTCCACAAATATGTGTGTGTATTGGAATTGCATTTGCATTTGGTTGTGGTTAACCCTTGGTGTTGGACACCACGCCCTGCACACACACACAACATATTGCATGTATGTATGTGTTGTACGTCCTTTGTCTGTTGTCCCGCTTTCGTCTTCGCTATCGTCATCCTGCCATACAGCCAAGGCCAAAATGTTCTCGCTCTTGTTCTCGTTCTCGTTGCCGCTGCCGCTGCCAACTAAGCCTCGGGCAGCGGTTTCAGCTCCCTTATCTGCTTGATCAGATAGGCCTTCTCATCGTTGAACTGCTCGTCCTCGGATCGATCCGTATGGAAGCTGGTTAAGAAGTCGACCAGTTTCGTTTGATTGCGCAGCAGGATGTCCAGAATCGGTTTCGGTTTGTTCGGATTCGCGACAAACACTTTGAAGACATGAAACGCCTCGAACTGTATGTTGCGCGATCGCTCCTTGAGCATGTTCATCATCAGCTTCAGGTTCTCTGGCTCCGATATATATCGCGTCATTACTGTGAAATTGTGCCTGTCCAGCAGCAGTTCACCGAGCAGCTTCAGACTCTGGCGTCGTGTCACATAGTTCTCCGAGTTCAACAGTCGCTGATAATGCTGGGCAAAGAACTTGTCATAGTTGGCGTCCAGGAATTCGGCGCACAAGAGCTTGTGGCGTGTCAGCAGCTCCTTGAACGTGGAGAAGGCATCGGAGGCGATGTCGAACGTGGACACTTCCACATACCGGAAGAACTTAAAGAACTCATCCGAATGCAGCATGATCTTTGCCAGCGCCTCGTAGCGTGCGCATTCGCGCAGCATTGTGCCCGAATTGAGGGCTATCTCCGGATGCGCATCCTCGTAGCCGGCCATCAGTGTAAATAATATTTCCGGTTTCGTGCATATATATTCAACTGTGGGCGATCGGGTGCCAATCTGCCGGCGCAGCACATTATTAAATATGAGCGCCACATGCTTCTTACCCTCAAAATCGATCCGATGCAGATTCTGTATGAGCAGCAACAGTAAATTACTGTTATACAGCTCCTGCGACAGCTGGGCAACGACATAGTCCGCTGGCGGTTCCGCATCGCTGCTGCCGTACAGCATATTCTTGATCGATACCAGATTTTTGCTAACATCCTCCTGGGCCTTCTCCACCTTCCGGTCACCCGACTCCAGTGCGTTTATCGCCTCCTTCAGCGACTTGACCAATTCGGCAGGCGTCTTCTGTGATTTACCAAAGAGTGGCATTGTAATGCTGCTTCTGCTGCTGTTGCTGGCTGACTTTCCTCTTGTTGTTGCTGCTGCTGCTGGTGGTGTTGTTGTCGCAATTGGTTTGCTGCTGGTTCTTGTTTACTGCTGATTCGTTTGTCCAATTACTGGTTTGCAGACACAAAACAATGCTTGGCTATATATCACAGTATAAATAATATTCTATTATTATATATTATTTCGTCTTTTTTCCTCTATCTCTTCTTCTTTTCTTTATGAAAAAAAAGAACGAATGCCAAACAGAAATGTTATTTAACATAACAGCGACAATAACATTACCATTTGCGGATATGTTATTCACAGCGAGCATTATTTTATACCTGCCAAGATATGCCATTGTTCGATTTCTGACACAAGCACAAAATCAAAAGTGATAACATTTTTAGTCTAATATTATGTAGGTTGCTTATATTTAAATATTCACGTTCTATCGAGAGGTCCAGTAAGGTAGAAATTTAAATTCAACAGCAGCGTAAGGGCTCCGTCACTGTCTCGAATTAGAGGGCTGCATAAAAAAACTATCGTAACGGCGCAAATTAGCAAGTTCAGCTTCAGGCTAGTGCTGTGAAATAGTCATATCGATAAGTGCTTATCGATGCAAACAAATTTACTATTAAAAAATATCGAAAGGTCGGGATATTTGAAATTTAAATCGGAGCTTCCACTGTGAAATCTTAAATAAATTAAATTACTGGGCATAGCATCCATTTCAATATGGAGATAAACAGAAAAGATATTATTTCTTTTGCGCACTTATACTTATACAACTCAACGCATTTAGTTTTAAATATCATTTTATTTCTCCATGAAGTATTTTTTATCCTTTCATTTTTAAATAATATATATGCTCTAAGCGCATTCAAACGCACAGATGTTATAGAAGTTACAGAAATATAGTATTTATATATATATATTTATATATAAATATATGTTTTGAATGCACATTGTCTTTTGTCTGTTATTGGGGGATAGATATTTTGGATAAATGTGAAATACATATATATATTTTTGTTATGCACATCCATATTAATATGTCTGACAACTTTATATATGACCCGCCCTAATGTTGATCCGCAGCTATGTATATGAAATGAATATTTATTTGGTTTTTGTTTTTGTCGTGTGAGTGTGTGTTTGTGTTTTTACGTATAAAAGTAGTTTTAAAATCCATAAAATATCAGATAATTACAATTTGTTGTTGTGTATAAGTATGTATCTAAAAAGCATTTGCCACCAATTTTTATTTTTACCTTGCATTGTTCAACATAAACTAAAAAATAAGTTCATTTAGTCTTTGCAACTAACAAATACATATACATATATATAAATATAAATCTTTCGAGTAGTCGTTAATAATAATATCTTTGGGCTTTGCTACTGTTTATAATTTATGCCAAGTAGTACACATAGATCATTTTGCTTTTATGTATTTATGTAGGTATTACGAGTACTAAAACACGAAGAAAAGTCTAAAAGTTGTAAATTGAGTTTTCGATTTTTAACGGTCGATCGTATTACATATAATGTACGCACGTATTAAATTATATATATATATATATATGTATCTTGTATAGGTATACTAAAAACACTTTTACCGACTAGTAAATATATATATATATATATATATATATGTAAAATGTATGTATATATACGTGTGTGTGTGTGTGTGTGTGTGTGCAGTATGATTACTAATTTATTGAGATATTCTATGAATATATATTTCATGCCCTCGTATTGCCGGCAGGTTCCCCTATTCCCCAACCCGCCCTCCATATGCACTTCTATGTCTTTCAATGTTTATAAAAACGAAGCTTTAGCTTGATTAAAAAAAAAAAGTTGGTAGTGGAAAAAGTTATGTGTGAATTGGCATTTTTTTTTCTTTTCAGAAAAAACGATGTGTGTATAATATATATATAATTCACAATTAAAAAAATAGAAGACGGCGTTTAGTCGGAAAATGCCTATATAGAAAAAATTTGCTTTGCAACTCAGTTTTGAAGCCCACTCACTCGCGCTCTCTCTCTCTCTCTCTCCCTCCTTCTCTCTATTATTCTCCTTCACTTTACTCTCTCATTTTCTCTCCCTGTCTCGATATAAGCGGATGCATCGGATATATGACTAGATGTATGTATAATCGCTACGGCTACTAAATACTACGGTAGTTGGTACTACATGCTACCAACTACTATATATAGTATATATGTATATATATATTTATATAGTTAATAATAATTAATAATAGTTGTAGTTTGTTTTTGTTGTTGTTGTTCTTTTGCGCCTCTTCGCTGGGGCCTTCCAGTTAGGTCTTCCTTATAGTTCAATCCATTTTTCAGTTCCAGTTCGTTGTGTGTTTCCTTCCGTGGGCCTCTCTGGAAGATGGGGGGATGGTGGGAGCAATGTGGTTATATATATATATATACGTATGCATATATATATATATATCGTATCACTGTGGTTGCTTGCGCTTGATAAAATTGCCCTCGGCGTCCAGCCAAATGGCGGCGCCGTTGTTGTCGGCCACACCGCTCCGCTGTGCGTCCATCCCCGTTCTTATCATTTACCTGTGCAGGGCATTCGATATCTGCTTGAGGGACTGGCCCACCTCGCCGACCAGTCGCTCATTGTCCTGCACATTTTTGCTGCCGGCGGTGCGCAGATGCTGCGATTGCGTCTCGACGCGAGTCACCAGCTCACGAAAATGGAATTTCGAGTGCGGCGGCATCGATTCATTCTCCGCAAAGACCACGCACGAGTTCTGCAGTATATTCAGCTTGTCGCTGAGCTGCAGCCATTGCGAGGCCGAGATCGCATTCACTGGATGCTTGAGTGAACCCTCCAGCAACGTGACCAGCTCCAGTATGCTCTCCCTGGAGATTTGCGTTGAATTGATCAGGCTGTTCTCAGCCCCGCCGCCTCCGCCCACGCCCACGCCAATGCCGGCTATTTTGGCAATGGGCGTGGCATATATAGTCAACTTGGTGGGCTTGTGCGGCACCGCGGGCTTAGTCTGGCCCACTCCTCCCCCGCTGTTCAGCTTGTTGTTGGCATTGCTCTGGCTTGGCGGTGGCTGCTGCTGCTGCTGATTGGAGGCAGATGAGGGGGAATTGGAGTTGGAGTTGACAGAGTTGGATTGGTACTGTAGCTGCTCGCTGCCGTAGAGCGATTGCGTCATGTGCTCCGCCGCCTGGTCGCCGGCTCCTGTCTGCTCCTCGCTGCTGCTGCCCTCGGCATCTGTGAAGAGTTGCGTTGAAAGAGATGTTTTTATTGCTGTTGTTGTGGGAGTTGTTGCAGCTAATTTTGTGGCAACTGCTGCGGCTGCTGCTGCGGCTGCTGCTTCTTGCTGGGACTGTGCTGTGCTGGTTGTGCATGGAGTGCTGCTAATTGGGGGCGGTGGTGGCGGTGCCGCCGGCGGCGGTTTAATGCCAAACAGTTTGGCATTGACAACGGGCTGGGCTGCCTTTAAACCATATTTGGGTGACAATTGGGCGACAGCATTGCTGCTGCTGCTGCTGGCTTGTGGGATTGAGGTGCTCGCATAGTCGCCGCTGGCCACCGGCGGCTGCTCCCAAAGTTTCTTTAAGCTATTAATACTACCTGTGCTGCGCCGCTTGCCAGCGTCTGTCGCTGGGCCAGTTTCGCCGTAGCCGGCGCTGGCGGCATCCGCATCCGCATTCGAGTTGTTCACATCGATTTTGATTTCAGTCTTTTGATTTGCAGCAAACTTTTTGCCATTACCGGTTTCATCCTTGCGCATGTTGCAATTGGCATTGGTCGAATGTTGTTGTGGCTGTGGCTGTGGTTGCGGCGGCGGCTGTGGCTGTGGCTGTTGCGGCGGCTGCTGCTGTGGCTGCTCCTTGTCCACTTTGCGCAGATGCGCCTTAAAGTCAATTATGTTTGAGGGCTGCTCGGCCTTTGGCATCGGCGCATTTAGTTTCTTTGGCTCCACTTTCTTCAGCTGCGCCTTGAAGTTGTTGTTGTTGTTGCTGTTGTTGCTGCTGTTGTTGCAGTTGCCATTGGTCAGCTTGGTTTGCTTGGGCAGATTCATGCTCTCGGCCAGCTCGGTGACCAGCTGTGCGACGGGATCAACAACCGCGGCCGGCGGTCCACTGCCATTGGCATAGCCAACGACTGTTTCGGCCGGCTTGCCCGCTGACTTAATCTCCGTGATGAGCTTCTCTTTCAGATTCAGACTCTTCTCAGCCATTGCTGCTGGCTGGGCTGCTGCTGCTGGTGGTGGTGGTGCCTCGGGCGGCGTGCCCAGCGAACTGCACGAGTCCGTCGAGGGTTCACGTTTGCGCAGCGAGACACCAAATCGGGAACTCGCCTCCTCAACGCTGGGCGCCGTATTGCTGACATCGTTGCTGCTGCTGTGCTGCGCGTGCAGATGCTGTTGTATGGCCTGGACGGCGCTTTCGGGCGCTGGCGGCGGCGGTGGTGGCGGCAGTGCCTCGAATTCCTCCAGCGGCGGCGGCGGAAACTCCAGATTGGCCAGCGCCGGCTGTGCAATGCCGCCGCCGCAACGTTTCGGGGAATTGCTGCTGCTGCCGGCGGCTCGAAACGATGAGAAGGTCATCATGGTGCCCTCCGTGGTGGTGCGATGTCGCTGCAGCTTATTGAGACTGGCAGCTGCATTGTTCTGCATGGTCACGCCGCCAGACGAGTTGCTTCTAATCATTTGCTGTGGTGCCGGCTGCGCCTGCTGCTGCTTGCTGGCCATGGGCACAGCGGGCGGTGCACGGGCTGGCGGCGTGGCATGGCCATTGGCCGATGTCTCCGTGTTGCTGCTGCTGTTGCTGCTGCTGCTGTCCTCCAGGCTGTCTAGGAAGGCGCCGATGCGCGCCACCTTCGGCAACGTGCCATACCGATTGACGACCCGCTTCACATTCATCACCTCCAGAGCGCCCACGGTGATGGGATGAGCGGGCAGCACAGGTGTTCCGCCGTTGCCGTTGGTGGTAATACTGCCATTGCCAGGAGTCAGTGGCTCCCTGCCTGCAGCCGGATGTTGCTGCGAACGTTTGCTCTGGCGCGTCTCCAGGCCACGATTGCCCATCACGGGCCGCTTAAAGGAGCTGTGCTGCTGCGAGGAGCGCGGTCCAATGCCGCCCGAGACGCCGCCGTGCAGCGAGTGCTGCATCTTGTTGGGCGGCGTGGCGGCTGCTGTCAGGCTCTGCTCCAGGCTATCGCCGGTGGCATCTGTATCGGGATCTGCAGCTGGATCCGTTTCCG